ATCATGTTAGCATGCTAAAGTAATGGTAGCCTACAAAACACCTGCTAGACTTTACCCCTGTTACAATGCTGATGACATCATTTAGCTATAAGCTCTATACTGTGCTGGTACAAGCAAACATAGCTGTTGTCTTACATGCACCTGATGCAAAAGCAAGTATCAGACACTTTTGACCGGGAAAAAACTGCTCTGCCATCGGTGGCACATTATTTCACCCTTATTTCAAGGGCATATAATGAAGATAGTAATATATGCCGACATAGGAAGGTGCACAATTCATGTAAACTGCTTGTTATACACACAGATGGTCAGTGCTCACACACGTTTACTTCACACACGAGCAGAGTTTTCGTTACAGAGAAGCATTCTCTCTTACTATCTGGTAAATCTGCTCTCATAATAAAAATCTGCCAAGGTCCAAGTACAACAGGCTTTGAAAAGGAATAAAGGTCTGATTGGATTATTACATGTTACACACAAAACGCACTAATGATCAGACGTAGTGCAACCCTTTTCAACCACGCTTTAGACCATGCATTTAGATTGTTAAAATAGAGCCCTCAGTCTTATTTAATGATTGTTTAGCTGTCTTATTTTTATATTTTTACTATAGTCACCACTGCAGCTTTAATTGGCTTTGGTTGTTTTTATTGTTTCCATCCACCACTGCTTGAAACCAACACGAGTCACTTACCAACTTGCTTATTACTCTTACCCCTTTTGCAATGTGAACAATTGTGATTTTCTGGAATGATTCCTTCATCGTCTGGTGAATGCTGTCTCAGGACAAATATCTTTTAATAAGTTGGCTTATTCTTGACTGATTCTGACCATTTGCTACATGCTTGAGAAATCCAATCATTTCTTACAACAACCAGAGAAAATACGTGTTGACAAGTTCACTGGCACAGAAATGGCCACCATGGTTGAATATGTCACAGTCATCCTGGTGCAGGTTCAGTTATGGTTTTGGTGACTCAGGATACTAAAGTTTAGCAAATGCACTGTGGACATTGGCATTTAAAATCTACAATCTGTTATCAGTGGCGCCATGACAGAAACCAACTTTGAGAAAAATGTGTTTATAGACTTTCTTGTCTGATCAGAAAAAAAGGAGATGATTTGGCTTCACTTTTGGGGGAGCTGTAATGTCACCCATCTTCATACACAGTCTATGACTCATACACACAGACGATGCAAATCTGACATTTTGTTATACAGAACATCCAACATACTGTGCGTCAGCGTTGTGCTACAAATCAACAGAGGAACGTCTTGCTGCTGCTCCCTGCACTCAGACTGCAGTAAACACAAAACTATCATGTGGGGTGTCATGCCAACCTAATGTGATTTGGTTGTTTTCGTGCTGACAGTAAATCACTCTATCATAATACCACCATGTTAAAACACAACAAGTGGAATTTTCCTGCTGTTTTCACACAGTCTATATAGATTTAACAAAGCATCCTCTCCATCGATGCGCAGCCAGAGCAGAGCCTCTCAACAGATTTGTGACAGCATGAATAAAATGTGAAACAGCAGTGGGGGTTGAAATGGATAACAAAACACAGAACACACTCTGCTGAGCTCGAACAAAATATGAAATAACTTGTCATGATGATTTTCTCTGTTTCAATTAGCACAGGCTGCCACCTCCTGACTCCTGCCTTTCATTTCATTGTATCCATTTCTCACTTTAAAATATTATTCCCTCCCACTTCTCTACCCTGTCCTCCTTAAGTCCTGGTTTTGACATTTTATGCCTTATAATTATTTCAGCCTTTATTCCTCCTCTTTTACGCCTTTTTCAATCTTTCCTTTTTTTAAATTGTTTAATTTTCATCTTCTGCAGTATGACCCAGGTTTGCAGTCAGTTTCATTTTATCTCTTCCTTTCACAAGACCTTTCTACCCTTGTCTGGTGTGATTAAAATAAATAATGGCGTCTTTGTAGTTTGCAAAGGGATTTTATGGGTTATGAATAGCAAATGACTTACTTATTACTTGATGACTTCAAATTTGACCTGCCAAAATCATAAAACTATAAGAATATAAATAAATGATATATCCAATAATGGAGGCAGTTTAATTTATAGATCGCTGGATGTCTGCCCACAGGCATGTTCTACATCTGATGTATGTACAGTGTTAGAAGGCACAGAAAGTATAGCAAAACAAAATCAACTTATTTCAGTTAAGGTACTGATGTTACCCAGAAGTGAAACAGAATGAAGGGAGATGTGCACAAACCGATCTGTGCTCTTGGTTTTGGTCTGGTCACGAGGTATCAGAGCGCTGTCCAGCTCTTCCCAGGCCAGATGGGATATGAAGTCCCTCCAGCGACTTGTAGGTCTTGGGGTCTCCTCCTGATAAACCTCCAACAGAAGGCCTCCAAGAAGCATCCAAACAAAATGCCAGAACCAGCTCAACTGTCCCCTTTCGACACGAATGAGCAACAGTTCTACTCTGAGCTCCCTCTGGATGTCTGAAATCCTCAGCCTGTCTCTAAGGATGAGCCAAGCCACCCAGAAGCTGAGCTAAACACAGTCATGCATGATGCATGCATGATGTCTGCATGATCTGTTTAGCTTATCTGCTTGGAGAGAAATGTGCTTATTGCTTTATTGGATATGCATTGAAATTATTTGATAGCTCGGGAATGAACATATATTAATTGCTGTGATCAGTTATAGCATTATGAATCAGAATTTCTATGCAAGCTACGCACAGTGCAGCAGACAGAACCCGAGTCACAAGTTACAATTTATTCGATATCAGCATAGACATTCTTTCACTTTCATTTTCAAACCTCTACAATTACATTTGTGAGAAGTTCTACATCAGAAGGCCGCAGCAGAAATGTTGCTTTTCATGTTTCAGGTTATGCAAATGACTACTAGCCCATCATGTGACCTTTTTCCATTTCAATATCCCTGTCCCTTGCTGTGGCATTTTCCACAATTCCTCGTCCTCCTTTGAACCCTCTGCATGTTATTTCATGCAGTCTATCACTTTACCTTTTCCTCAGCTATCTCCCTGTTTCCTCAACTACCACACTCACTGTATATCCCATCTTTTCAGGAAACTACTTTTTATCTAATCCACTTTATCAAGATAAACCCCTCCCCTCTCCTTGCTTTATTTAGGTCTGGTGGCCACGATAAAGGACCATATCACCAAGCCGACAGCAATGGCTCAGGGACGAGTCGCTCATCTGATTGAGTGGAAAGGTTGGGGTGGAGGCGGTGAGGCTGGGGGACGTGGAGGCAGCTGGGCCTGTGGAAAAGGAGGTGGAGGCTGGGGGGCTATGGGGACCGAGCTGCAAGAGGATGAGCAATTCTACTCTCAAATGACGGACGAAATCAAGGAGGCCCGCTTCGCTGCAGGTGAGACAGACGGACGCATTTAATTCAAGAAAAACAAGATGTGGTCAGTGGAGATGAAGTGATGCTCAAATCCCTCTGGGCAGCGTTTTCATTCGATTAGCTTTGTGCAGAGGGAGCTTTAACAAAAATCAATAGACGTCCAGTCACAGGGACTCAAATCCAGTGCACTTATTCAATTTCCGTTTGTTTATGATGGTGGTAAACATGGTGACAAACAGCAGGGGTCGAAAAAGCCCCATAAAATGTGTTTTTATGGGTGTTTTGTTTTACAGGAGTGGCGGAGCAGTTTGCCCTGGCTGAGGCGGCCATGCATGTGTGGTCAATGAACGACAACATAGAGGAGCCCTCCACCAGCTTACAAGGTTGGTCATGGAAAAGGATAACAAGTGTCATTGGGGCATTTATTTATAAGTATTTTCAAAGGGGGTTACTGCTACATTTACAACTGATTTCCTCTCTAAAAAATTACAACCATGTAGAATGAGGTAACATTAAAAAATCTGTGCATTTCTAATTAAATAGTCAATGTCTGAGTTTGTGATCTACTGTCATCTCAAATTTTTTATTTTAGCCAGAAGCCTTTTCTTTTATGTTGATGATGGATGTGCGAGACAAATAAGACAGATAACAAAATTCATTATTGTTTCACGAAATTTTGCAAATGTAATGACAATTGTTTCAGCAGCCTGAAATTACGGAGCAGATCACTTAAGACATCAGCCCTTTTTAATTAGCTTATGAATGTGTTGTGATGAATGAGGATGAGATCTCTTTGAAGGAAATAGAAAACACACATTGAAACACACATTCATGGTCTCCAGACTGTTGACTTTGGCAATACCATGACGTTTTACCATGTTAAAATATCCACCATCACAAAATTACCATATTCCAGTCAACCTCATCCATACTTTTGGGTTTAATGCAAATTTAGCATGCAAGCATGTGAGCATGCTAAATTACTCTTAATTACTCTGCTATAAATTTATACTTGTTTGTATTAGAGGCTACTCTTTTGAGTCAAGGTTAGGTTGGGTGAGGTGAGGTGAGGTGAGGTTAGGTTAGATTATGCTAGCTTGATTAGGTTAGGCTAGGTTTAGTTAGGTCAGGTTAGGTGAGGTGAGATGATGAAGAGATAAGATAAGATAAAACCTTCATGACGTGCAGCAGCAGCTGGTTCAAAGTATTGGCACCTTTTTAAAAAACAATTTTATTACTGCATGCATCTGTACTATTTCTGTAATATACCAGTGTGAAGAGCTGCGGCTTCAAACATCTCTACCACTTGAGAGGCCCCGGGTGTTGTTTTCTCTCACATGCTTCAAATCATTTTTCATTGTCTTCAATAAACAACTAAATGTCTGATACTGTTATTATTATTATTGTCATCCCTCCTCAGCAGCGCAGAGCCACTTCTTGTCCCAGTTCCTGCTGGATGGAGGCAGCATCGGCATTCCCCAGCACCTGTACAGCATCCATTATGGCAACAGCAGGGCAGCCAACCTGGTCCCCCTGCCACAGGTCGACCCAATCTCCCCAACATCAGCCACTCAGCAGGACAAAGATCACCATCCCTTTGAGGACAGAAGCACTGTGACAGCAGAAGCTGCTGTCCGACACGTAGACAGCAGTTCGCTATCCGAGGATGATGTCTTTTATAACTAGGCTTGCAGGAAAACAGACTGGCAATCTTGCTGGCAACCTCTGAAACCATCCTCACTGAGAGGACCTGAGTCTCAGCAACAGCAGTGACAGATGCAGAAAATAACTGCAGACATCTATGAGCTATCTGCACAGAAAATGAAAGATTTCTAGACCCTTCAGATATAAAGACTCCAGAGAGTGTTTTCCTCTCAGCTCTGTCTGTGAATGTGTATAGTTCTACTGTTACATTAACCTTTTTCTATTCATTGTACATATCATATGTTGGACTGAACAGTGAAGAGTCAAACAATACTGGTGTAAATATGTCACATATTGTAATAAAATATACATTTTAATACATGTACTGTAGAACGCTTTCCAGTTCTGTTTTAATCCCTTTTTCTATCACATTGAAGAGTCCTACTTGAATATGGGGAAAAGGTCAGTGATTAAGTCACCACTGAAATGGAAAATGTGTCTCCAGTGAGATTTCTCATTTTAATATAAAGGATACAATTGCAAAGAAAGTGTTCACCAAATTATTTTCAGGAGTCATGATTATCTTTTATTCCCACTCTCCTGTCTGAGAGCGACAGGTGCAGAGATATTATGCAGAGGAAAGACGAGTGTCGGCCGATGTATGGTCGCTGTGTATTCTGTATATGTCTGCACGCCTGTGTGAGACATGGTTGAAGACTGCATGTCTTAATGTTACCTGTCTGGGTGGTTCTTTTATCACAGGTCTACACGATGTGAAGCTGTTTTGTGTAGTGCATTGTGGCTGTTCCCCCTGTTGGTGTCTCAGTGCTGAGTTCTGAATGGTGTAGAACAGATGTGGATAAAACAGAACAAAAGGCTGTGCATGAATACACTGATCACACCCATCATGAAACAAACTCCTTCAGCAGAACAGACCAGAACTGATCCGAGGTGTAATTAGAGAGACGCTTCAACAACATCTGGACTCGGTGTGGTGTGAGAAGGAAATGTGGTAAATTGGATGCAGGTACCTCCTGACAGGCTGCAGGTTGTGGAGGGTCGCGTCAAAATCAATACAATGTATGAGGAGTCTGGCCAGAAGCATAAAACACTGCTTACTCGACTTGATATAATAATAACTACCTTAGAATTTACAAGTGTAACTAAAGTCATCTTAGATAATAATACCCCTGAAATTATTCCTTAAACGTTAATTGCAGTTTATTAAAACTTGGCTTTTATTTGAAAGTGATGTCACAGTGATTAGAGATATCAACAATTACTTTCTTGATTCATTTGGATTTTTTTTAATTAACTGATAGACGTGATGACAAAATCTATGAAATTAACATTTTTTTTCAACGTCTCCACTGGAAGACCACCCACCAAGCAACAAACATTGAATCATCATAAATTACAAACATTTATTTTCCCATCTTGGGCAGACATTGTTTTAGATTATTGACTGTATATGAAAATGGGCGTTTAACGCCACAGAAGTGAAGTCAGTGTCTCTATCTCCCCCTGTTGGCTGGCTGCAGTATAGGCCATAAATCCTGCCTCCTCTGTAAGTGGATGGGACATCAAACTAAAAGGTTCAAGTCCAAAAAATATTCTCCAAGTTTCTCTCATTCTGGTAGTTACACTGATAATTTATTGAGTAATACACCGATTTCAGCATTAGCTATTATGAAAATTGGGTGAAACATCATGATTGACAGCTGAGACTGACTCACGATTGTTTGAGCATGTTTATTGGTGGGACCTTGATAATGTGACTCCACCCCCTGATCACTACTGCACAAAATATTTCCCTTTATCTTTTTCTTTTGGTAGATTCATCTAACAACAATGACCATCTATTTTGATTTATGAGGTTTAATAGGGAATTCACTCAGCATTTTACGTTACAACTTACCGTATGTTTAAGAGCAGAGTTTATAAAACTGCGATGCCTTCCTATAGAAAGAAGAGTCGAAGGGGTGAGATGCGACAGAGAGATGTGCAGGACATATTTAGCGTGAGGTAAACAGTGAGAGGTGCGTGCTTTTATGAAACCAAAGTTGCACCCACACACAGCTCTTGGAAGTAATTAAAGTACATTTAAAACCATTAACATCCAATTGATATAACTGAGTCATAATTTATTCAAATGTGAACATGCAGATAGAGCCTTACACTCACTGTGACTTCTCAATGATATGATTCATTCTGATTTTGTTCACAAATATATATTGATAAATCTGCTTAGAAATCATAGAAAAACAATGACTTTTACACCTCCAGTTCTTCAGTATGATTGTCAGGGCTTCTGGACTCTAGGATGGCACCACACCAGCAGTATAGAGGCATGTTATGCATGTTATGTTTTGTGGACTCAAACACTTCACCCATTCTTTCATCAGCATAGTGGTGAGTAGATAATGACAGAATCTTCCTTTTTGGGGGGCTATCCCTTTAAACAGTTGTGTTGTGCGTTGTGCTCTCCCTTAATGTGCTTGTGTGAGGCATCTCGGAAACTGAACCTTAAGTAACTATGAGAACAGTAGTTGTAAAACATGAGCATGATTATGTCACAAAAGCAAGATAAAGAAGAACAGCAGTTAGGAAACCCATCAATATAATATTATTACTTGAGTAAAGTCTTAAATGTTGCATGATCAATATATTTACTTGATGTTAATATATGGAATTGTTGGGGCCAGATGTCCACTCAAAACCCACCAGCAAGGTAGTTGTGTCACAAATTGAGTTCACTGATTGAGGCACTTTACTATCTCCTCAGTGGACACCGGCCAATAAGCTCAGGTTACAGGAGCCTCCAGCTAATGACAATTTTGTTTTTTGTGGAAATGTTGTTATGGGAACTGAAGACATCATGTCATTATTAGAGCCAGGCTTGGAAGGATTCATGGATGCTTCAAAAAAGGTCAAGGGTTTCACTTAGTTCCTATGTGTCAAAGCTTAGATTTCTTTGGCCAAGTCCTCCAATATCTTCTTCATCTAGAGGATAAATTAGGAGGGAAAAATATGTTTAATTCACCATGTTGCCTCCTATACTTTTACATAATGTTAAAAACAATCTGCACAATATCAATCAATCCATACATGGAGATAGTCAGGTTTATGTTTAGACAAATGACAACTGAGAAAGGTAACAATATCAGGCTGCATCATTAAAACCAGTAATGATTACACTGTTGGTGATGGTGAGTGCAAATACACACAAAACATACATTAGTGATCGTTACCTGTGTCCATGTGAGAAACCCGACCAACCGTCCTCTCTCTGTGACAAACAAGGTCTGGTCTCCAATGACACTCAGTATTCTGTGGGCCTGCAATCACACAAGAGATTTTCAAGTTTCTGACATTTCAAATTTTTAAATGTGGGTAACTATGCTGATTTGTTTTCTTTCCACAAGTTAGATGAGAAAACTGATACCAAACTAAGTTATTTTAGCCACTTGGGGGCAGCAATTAGTCCCAATCAGTTGTAAATCCTAAAATGACCAATTGACATGCATTCACAGAATGGGAGGGTAATGTGAGCAAAATCGCCCTCCTGGAAAGAATTTGTTACGATTTGCAGTTTAAGTTTTGACTAGTATAGTATAGTATAGTAGTAAGTTTGAAGTATTTAGTGACAAAAAAGTACTTTTTCCTGTCAAATTATTTTACATTTGTATGTTTATGTGTGAATTAAACCAAGAGAGGAGAGAGCCGGGCTAGCTGTTACCTCCTACTTCCTGTCTTTATGCTAAGCTAGGCTAAATACCTCCTATCTGTCATCATATTACGGACATGAGTGTGGTATCAATCTTCTAATCTAAGTCTGTGGAGAAAGGATAAGATTATTTATGCCCCCTATTCCTTTGTATTTGTCACAACTGCATTACATTAAGGTCTCATACCTCCTGAACAGTGTTGTGAGGTGATAACAGGACAGAGGTTGGATGAATACTACAGACCTCATCCAGATGTTTCTCCAGAGTCTGAAAAACAGCACAAACATATTCATACTTTAACATTTCTGTCAGATGTGTGCTGTTTTCAGTATCACTTAAGAAATTAAGAATCACAGTTAAAAATGACTGCACACTATATTCACAGTCTCATGAATCTGTTTTCTGTTTTTTTAAATTTTCTTTTGTCAGTAAAAATGATGACATTGTGTGCTTTCATGAGATTAGCATTTACATCAGGCAGCCACTGTCTGTGCATTGTGCTCCAGTCCTCCTTTATGGAACTGTTTCACATTCAGTCAGTGTCACACTGGCTGTAAAGACGTGGCCTGCCTTTTAAACAGTGTCAAACTGTTTAATCCTGCGCCTCCATCTGAACTCTGCGGCTACACCATCTGAACTCAGTGCAGGCCTTTACCTCAGTCTTGGGGCGATGCAGGAAAATCAGCAGCTCTGATCGAAGCACGAACCCCAGTAAAATCTGTGACTCTTCAACAGGAGAGAAGAAAGGAAAATCAATTTTCTTTGCCACAGTCGGTGCTATAGTTTCAAGTGTGTGCAGGTCTCTAGTGGGCGGCTTTTGCTGCTAAAAGGCTCAGCTGGCCGATTTACTGTTTTCTCACTTGTCAGCTCTCTATCAAGGCCCTTTCATGCTGCTGAATAGATGCAGTTAAAATGTTTCCTTATTTCTCTCATTGCTTCTCTCTCTTCTCTTCAGTGGCTCAGTGCGATGTTGCAATTATCTGTGTGACCAGAACCAAATTATTTTCTTTGCCATCCTGATGACTTTTTGTTCATATGTCAATACTCCCAATATATTCTATTTTTCGATCAAAAAATTTGAACAAAACGTGACTCATTATAATACTGGGGTTCAATACTGTCTGCGCACCGTGTGACTCCACCACAGGGATTTGCGTTTCACTGCTGGTTTTGACAGCATGTTGAATCTCTGCTGAACCAGACGCTTTCTGAAGCTGCACCGATTTCATTCCCAGAAACTGTCCAACTGTTGTGGAGGGAAGCCTGCAAAAGAGAAGAGTGATGTTATACCTGGAATAAAAGCAGCTCAGGTTGAATGAAATGAGCAAATGTAACATGTAAATTGGCAACAAGTCAATATTAAAATTTTTTTTCAAAGAATTCAAGAATTAATGGTTTAATCTGATGATGGCAACACAAGACGTGGTCTTAGCTGTATGTGCTCAGACACAAACAAGGGCAAGTTACATTTTCTTATCTTTATTTTTTTCTAAATTAAGTGTAAATGACATAAAAATACTTTACTTAAGAAACTGTAATACATGAATTCATATAACAGGAAATTACATTTTCTTACAGGATAAATCAAAGGCGAAGAGCTTTAAACCAGCTTTGAAACTTATTTGTTATTCCCGAAAAAGTTTGAGGTGTCCATCAGTCAAATGTATGATCCCCTAGGTGTCTGAGTTTGAGGGGTATTTAAAGTCACCTCAGTCTGAATGCTGTTACCAATGAGCCGTGGGTAATTATGTCTTGATTTCTATCACAGCATGTTGTTATTAGTGGTTGTCATTCAGTCCGGTGACAGACAGATAAAAGAGAAAAAACCTCAATGGAGCAGCTGCTATCACCGAGGTAATATGGGGACATGTATATTTTCAGGGCATACTTTCATTCCATGAGATTGCTCTGACATTTTACATCCTGACTACATTTCTCTACAAATCTCTACATTTAAATACATTAAACCACATAAGACATGAAACCTTCAGCCTCAACTGTCTTTTTTTGCAGGTGCAGCGTCTGGGAAAATTGCATTACTCAGAGAGCTTGAATCACTAGAGATGCTTTTGTTGAACAGCTGTTGTCAGTTGCCGCGTTATACTCTCTAAATGTTGTTTTTTTGTGTCCGCTCATTCAGTTGTGAGGTTTTCCTTCCTCTGAGTACAAACTGAAAGTAACAGATGTGTGGGTGGTTTATGGGGTTCTTTATTATTAACAGTGACTCATCCATTACTTGGTCAGCTCCTGAAATGTTCTTGCTATTCAAAAAAAATCACAAATAACACATTTCAGCCTCACACACAGCCTCTAGTGAGGTAAACAATGAAAACTCCTTCTGTGTGTGGTGCTAGGAGAAATGACATGTTACTTAAATCTGAATGGTTGTGGCTCAGACTCTGCTCTACACAAACAGATTTGTCTCACATGACAGAAGGCCCATTTATAATAAGGCCCAGTTCAGTTAGACAACTCACATTCAAATGATTATTGCAATAGTAGAACAGTCTTTGCTGTCTAGGCCCAGGCTGGGGTTAGCAAAGGTACTGATGGGAAGTTTTCTCAGCTTAAATAGAAAAAATGTATTATAGATTAATGTGGAGAGAGAGGTATGTCACATGATTGGAGCAGTGCAGCTTGAGTTGGCTGCCTGAACCAGTTCACAAGCATCGCTCCATTTGTGTTTTTATTTAACTGCTAAATTGGAAAGCATGGGTTATAGTTAGCTGGTAATGTTTAATGTTTGGACCTGTGATATTAAGCTTGGAACATTAGCATCTGGTCAAGATTTAACAAGTAAGCATGCTATGTCAGCAATGATCTGTAAGTAAACACCTGAGGCTAGCAGGGATTCAGTCATCTGTTTTTGTGGTGTTGGATCATGAACTGAAGAGTTGGACAACAGGAAATTGTTGGTTGTACTTGGTTTGTTAGTGTATCAGTGGAATTGTTGTTCCCAGTTTGTAATGTTCCGGGAAGCAATGAGCATGTGACCCCCGAGAGTTGATATTAGTGAAGCCAACCTAAAATAAAATTTTTTCTCTGAACTGTCATGTCCTATGGAAAACAAAACAAATTGAGAATTGTCATGCTCTGACAAAAAGGGAGGCTGTGGGTGGTGTTTATACTTTTTAAAAGTAATCAGTAACCAGAGGGGAATTGCTCCACTGATCCAATCAGAGCAGGCATTAAGAACTTGAAACATCTGTAGCAGCTAAAATGGATTCAGAGGAGGCCATTACCAAGACTGAGCCATGATGATGTAGGCTACTTTTATTGTGAACACTACAAATACAAAAAACATTAAATCAAAAAATCTGTTTCTGAACTTTCATGCTCTGACGGAAAATGTTACACTCAAAATATGACTAATCATGTACTCAATACTGACACTTCTTAATCATACCGTGGGCATGCTTTCTTCAGAGAGGGCAGGTGTGGGAGTTTCTTGCTGATAGAGAGGGCGTCGTAGAAAGATGGGCGGTGTCCTGAGCGAGCCAGGGCATTGGCCAGGAGAGTGGCGAGGAGAACAGGCACCGCATGGCTACACTGGCCAGTTAGCTCGATCGCCAGGAGAGCTGGGGACAAGGTGTGTGTCACAGCCCCAGATAGAGCTGCTGCACCTTTAATTCACAAAACATACACAGGCACTATTTCAGGTAAGGATACTATTGAAAACTATGGCTCATACTCAAGATATGTTGATACATATTAGTCTATTTAATTAAATGTATACAATTAACCCAATTAACATCCTGCATTCAAATTGAATTATCTTTCCAAAAATAATCAAATTAATAAAAACTGGCATATGATATATTTATTGGTAGATTTTGTGTGAAAGAAGTAGGCAGAATTAAGGAACATGTAAGAGGACTAAAAACGGTGCACGTATACAGGCAAGAGTACATGTCAGACCACTAGAAAAAGCAAAAATCCAAACTCATTTTTCTACCAGCCAGTGCATAGCCTCCAGGATTTATGGAAACCTGCTGCTGGTCTGAAGTCAGTCCAATTGAAAGCACATACGCTACTCCTTCTCCAAGCAAACGGCCCAAAGCTGCCCCTAGGAAAAAGCAAACACATCAGAATTTCTCTATGTTCATATTCCAGGAAAACCCCCACAGAGTTTTCACATTCTGGTGAGAGGATGCTCTGAGGCATATACCTCACACTTAAATTAAAACTCGAGCCGTTTGGTTATTCTGAAAATGAAGCTTGTCTCTTCTCTTTCCCCTCACTCACCATAGACAAAGACTGGCATAAAGTATCCAGCTGGAACGGGCAGAGTGCAGGCGAGGACCAACATCCACATCTCAGAAGAAACAACAACAAAAACTGTCAAATCCCTGTCAAACAGCCACAGCAGCTCTGTGTGCACAAGTCACTGTCAGTCTGTGAGCAGGGAAATCGCAGCACTCTCAGTTTTGTACGAATAAATGTTAAATCAGGTAAATTCCTTCACCACTTTGTAATGAATAAAATGTGTGGCAGAATAAACTTTTTGCAATGCAGAAATGTCCAACTGGTGGTTATCATGTTGACAGAGATACGTTTTGTTTTATTATTGTGTGTACCTTCATGATCAGAAAGAAAGCCAAAGACAGGTAGACAGGACTCCCTGATGAGCTCCACTCCGACAAAGGCTCAGGCTGCAGCTGCGCAGAGGCATTATGGTGCTGAGAGCCCCACTGCCTGCTCTCCAGTAAGGAGGTGAGGAGCTGCTTCATGGTATACTGGGAAAAATATGTCATTTACATTACTCTCTGAAATCCAAGAAATGCTGTTGTGAAAGTAAAGATCAACATGGCACTGTAATTAAAATTTTTCAAATCTATTTTGGGTCACGTCAGTGAATCTCATGAAAATACAAAACAACCTCAGTCTTTCTGAGTTTCCAACTTTCCTGTGGCATTCTGCCCAACTTCAAAATCTTTAAAAATGGGAAAAACATACAAGGTTTGATTTTTAAACAAGAATGAGTCTTAAGTCAGACCTGGCTTTCTATCGGTGGGGGAATTTAACAAGGTCATTTTACAAGAATCCAAATTTGTGTAGCCGGAGTAGAGCAAATGCCGGCTACTTGAAAGAGACAGCAGGGTTTTGAACGTGAAATGAAGAAATAATACCCTCAAAATGAAAGAGTATGATACTGCATGAAGAAACTCCATAATGCAGAATCAGAAGACGAAGACGAAGAG